CTGCACACCTGAGCCCTGCACACCTGTACCCCTGCCTCTCTGCACACCTGGCCCTTCCCCTCTCTGCATACCTGTCCCCTGCCTGCACTACTGACTCCCCTCTCTGTACACCTGTTCCCTCTCTACACATCTGTTCCCCCCCTTCTCTGCACACCTGTTCCCTGGGCACACTCATCATTCCCCTCTTCCTCGCTTATGTCTAGAATGTCATTCTCTACCTGCTGACTCTGCACCATCCTTCCTAGTTACCTCCCATTTCCTTCTGTGAGAAGCCAGCCACAGAGGCTTGTTTTACTTGATAGTAATTTCGTTGATTGTTGTGCTAAAACAATTACTCTAGACACATGTCTACAATATATGCAAAGTTGATGGAAGCCATTTAGCACAAAAGCTACTGCAGATGTTCAGAGCCCAGTGGGGTCTGCATTCACTCTATAGGGGAACACCTGAAGAGCCCGGCCAGCACAGCCACCTGGGACCAGGCACACCTGAGGGAGGCCGGGATGGCTCCAGTCCCTGTGTTCAGCCCCTGGCATCTGCTGGAAGGTCCCTCAGCCCACAGTGTTGTCTCTTTCCTGAAAGTCGTCTCTGCATCTAAGTTCCAGGTCCAGTTTCTGTGGAGTCGACTCCCGCACCTGGCATCCCCTTGCATGGCAGAGTGAAGCTGTGCTCCATCGGGTCCTTCAGTGACAGAGCTTATGGGAACTAGATCACCAGGCCTTTCTTCTGAGGTGTCTCTGGCTGAATTTGAACCCCCCACCTTTCACTTAACTGCAGCGCATGTTAGCCCTTTACAGCCCTCAGGAGCTCCTCTCCTGGAGGTAACATTTGTACTGTCTTGTCTTTTACTTTCTCCTTCGCTTTTGGGGCTGATCTCCTCAATAAAACCACAAGCACCTGGCCCTCAGGGCCGTGGCATTTATTAATTAGACAAGTCACTTCACCTCTCAGCCTTGGTTTCTTATCTCTAAACTGTGGGTAATAACTTCCCTAATGAGACCTTTTTGAGAGCTGAACCAGCAGCAGGCATCTATCCGCAGTCCCAGGTACTCAGTACAGGTGAGTCACCAAGCCTCTCCCAACCTGCAGCTACTCCCATATGCTCTGCCTTCCTGTCTCAGGGGAGGTGGGGGCTACCTCCTTCCCAGTGGGCTAGTTCCTTCCCGAGGAGGGACTCAGTTACTCTGTAATTGCCTCCCAACTGGATCCTTCCCTGTATTGTGTATGCCTCCTGTAAAATCGCTCTACTGGACAATGATGTCAAATGAAGATTCCCCCTCTACCCATCTCCTAGTTCCCACTTCATTTCTTGGCTCTCTTGCCAGGAAAAGTCCCCCAGAGACCTGGCCCGCTCCCGGCCTCAATACCACCGTTCTCTCTCCCGTCATCTCCTCACCTGTCTCTCCACTGCAGTGTGTCTGATGACCTCTACATGGCTTCCTGTCACTCAGCCTCTCAGCAGAAACGGAGACCATGGACCCACGCTTGTGGTTTGCCTACTTTTCCACCTAGTTGGCTGGACAGTCCCCTCCCCCTCACTTCTAAGAGTTGAGAGCCCAGGGCCCTTTATCTGCATTCGCTCCTTGGTCATTTCCTCCACTTGTGACCTTAAATGCCATCCACAAGACGCCCACACTGATGTCTCAAATCCACACCTCTCCCAGCATTCCAGACACGCAGGTCCAACACCTACTCCCATCTCCCCTGGATGTGTCATAGACACTTCCACCTCAACATGTCTGAGACGGAACCCTCGGGTCCCCACCGCACCCTTCCCACAAGCTTTCCCATCTTAGTAATGGGAACTCTGTCTCCTTCCAGTTGCTGAAGCCAAACCCCGGGAAGTCATCCTGGGCTCCTCTGTCTCATAAACCTCAAAGTTAACTGATCAGCAAGTCCAGTCCATCAGTTCCACCTTCGATCTAGAAAATCAGGCTGCTTCAGCCCACCTCAAACAGATGGCCCCGGGAGCATCCAGAGTGGGGCTGTTGGTCTGTCTTCCCCACTTCCACAATCTGTTCACCCACAGTCAAAGTAATGTTTTCCAGACTGGATGGTGTCATTCTTTGGCTGAAAACCCTCCAATGCCTTCTCCTCTCATCAGAATAAAATTCAAGTTTCTTATCATGGCCTGAAAGACCCTGTGGGACCAGCCCTGCTACCTTTCCGGCCATGAACCCCACCATTCTCTCCTTATTCACTCGGTTCCCCCACACACACACACGCTCCATGTGTCCTGTGTATTGTGACTGAACCCAGGTGTGCATAGGGATAGCGGTAGGGGAATGTTTGTATTTGCTCATCCTTCCATCTGCCTCCCTCCAGGTCTCTGCTGAAATGTCACCTTACCCCAGAGTCTTTCCCAATTACTCTAAAATGGTCCCCTGGCCCCCTCTGACCCAAGCTCTACTTTTCCTCTGCTAACCACTACCTGATATTTATGTCTTTGTTTTTGTCTACCTCCTCACCTCAAATTACATCAAAGGACTTGGGGTGCCTGTGGACCCAGGCCTCTGCCCGGCCACTTCATGATGGGTGATTTTGGATTTCACCTTTCTGAGTTTCAGTTTCCTTGTCTGTAAAATCTCCTTTGAAGTGCTTATAAGTGACGAGAGATAATACCAAGGGATTTCTAAAAGTTTGTGGGAAAAGGACTTTAAAGGCAATGGACTTTCCCATGTGGTCACTCTCAGTGAACTAGAGGCTAAAAGGGTCGCTACATTTCTGTTACTCCTGTTTCCAAGGAGTCAGCCATCTCATCTCTAGCGGCTCCGGGTTGGAGGGCTTTTGACTCATTGTCCTTGCTAGGCCCTCCCTGCCCTAGGGCCCCATAAGCTTTGTGTCTGGTTCTAGCCATTTCTGTTGAGCCCCTCCTCCAACCCTGCTTAGCCCCCATTGTGGGAAGCGGAGGTGCTTGCTGGGAATCTGTAGGTCTGTCTGGACTTTGGATCCCTAGGCCCTTTGGACCTTTCTAGGAAAGGCGCCATCTCTGGGGTAGGCAATGTTAGGCAGGGCTAGTACTTGGTGTTTCCCAGGCCAGGTTTCATCTTGATGGCTCATGAAGGTTCCCTGGTGGCACAGTGGGTTAAGCATTGCGCTGCTAACCACAAGGTCAGTGGTTTGAGCCCACCAGTGACTGAGAGAGAAAGATAAGGCTATCAGCTTTACAGTCTTAGAAACCCTTTGTTAAGTGCCATCGAGTCAATTCTGACCCACAGTGACCACAGCAGCTGGTGAGCTTGAACTGCCGACTTTGCAGTTCAAACGGCTTTACAGTCTGGTGCATTAACCCACAGCGCCACACCAGGACTTAACAACAACAACAACAACAACAATCTGTCTCATAGGGTCTCTGTGAGTCTGAAATCTGTGGGCTTGGAATTTGCTGCTTTGAAATGACTGAAAAAGGAGTTTCATGTGTACCATCATAACTCAAAAGCTATGTTGTCAGGAGGGACCAGTCGCTGGAGAAAGGTATCATGTTTGGTAGGGTAGAGGGTCAGAGAAAAAGAGGAAGACCCCCAGCGAGATGGATTGACAGAGTGGCAGCATCAGTGGGCTCAAGCGTGGTAATGATACTGAGGTTGGCCCAGGATCAGGCAGTGTTTTATTCTGCTGTGCATAAGGTCGCTATGAGTTGGTACCGACTCCATGGCCCCTAACGACAACATGTGTACCACCAGAGGGCGCCAGAGGCCACTGTGCCCTTTGCTGGGGATCTTGTCTCCTAAGACCGTCTGTCTCCCTTCCTCTCAGGCTTAGGGCTTGCTGCACAGAGCAGTGCACCCAAGACTTGCAGAAACAGAGGCCTGGTGCTGGCTCGCTCCCACCTCCCCGCTTGTTGGCAGCTGTCAGCCAAAGCAAGGTCACACGAGGGACTGGAGATCAGGATTCCAGGTTCTTTATTCATCAGCAATAGTGAGCCTCTTGCTCTGTGAGCTCAACCAGTCTCAGCCCTCAGATGCCAACCTCAGGGGGAAGTGCATCTTAGCCCCAGCTGCCCAAGTCTGGGTCTTGCCAAGACGGTGCCTAATTTTCCACCCCCTCACCAGGAGCTCCAGTGTTAGGGAGACATGGGACAAGCTCTGGGGGATCATGGCCAGGTTCTTGTCCTCAGACCACTCTCCAGCAAGGGGAGGACCTGGCTTCCTATGAGCAGGCGGGTGCTGAGAGGAGCTCCTGGAGCCCACTGGGCCAAGGTGACCTCCAGATTCAGTCTGTTGCCTTCCCTGGGACTCTTCCCTTCCATGTGATCCTCCACAGCAGAGATTGAACTTCTTGATGGCTACAGGCTTGCAGAGGGCAGGGGGTCCTGGGTGGAGCTCAAAGAGGATAGAAATGCCAGAGGCTGCAAAAGTGTAGAGGCAGGGGGACTTAGCAGAGATCAAGTCACTGAGTCCCTTGGTGATACAATCTTTGGCCATTGGCTAGAGCCCTTGGCTAAATCCTTGGTCATAAAATAGACCTTTTGAGGCCTAGGTGTACCCTTTCCCCCAATATCAGTTCAAATACAGAAGAGTTTTTAAGGCAACCTTTAGGCCTAGGGTCACTAGTGGTACAGTGGGTTAAGCATTTGCCTGAAAACCCTAAAGGTCATTGGTTCCGAGGAACCAGGAGAAAGCCATGGCAGTATGCTGACTGGGGATGGCAGCCTCAGAAGCCCTAGGGGCAGGGACCCTGGGTTGGACTGGACTCCATGGCACTGGGTTTAGGTCCTCCTGAGCAGGGACCTCGGAGAGTCAGTCTTCCTGCCTGCCCAGCAAGGACTGGAAGCCAGGGGAGAGGGTCCCACCATAGACCAGCACCCGCTTCTGTAAGGCCGGGAGCCCTCTCCAGGTCAGCAGGGCCGTGGGCCTGGAGAAGGTCCTGGCTCCCTTGGACAACCCTCCCCCACTTGTGTCTGACCTGCATTGAAAGCGGGGGTCTCCGGGGTGGGTCTGTAGCACCTGATGCACCTCTGGGGGAGGGTCCAAACCCATCAGTTCTGCCCGAAGCCAGCGCTGCAGCCTGGTGATGCCTGTCAGTAGGAAGACAAGGGCCTCAGGGGGCGGGGAGAGAGTCCCGTCTGGAAAGTAAGTGTCCGGGTGTATCCCCAGGCGACAGTGCCCCTGGGAGGCAGGCAGGCAGGTAGGCCAACTTCGGAATGCTCACCTGTGCAGGGCCCGTACTGCCAGGCCAGGTCGAACTGCCTTAGCAACGCCAGCTCCTTGGCCACATCGCTGCTGGGGGACTGGAGCGCTTCCTCTACAATGCGAAGCTGCCCTCAGGCCTAGCCATCCACTGCCCCCAGCCCTCATCACCCCGTTGCCCCCGCCATTCTGTAATCAGACCCTGGGGTGGGGAGCGGAGGACATTCCACCCATCCCCTCTGCCCCCTCCTCCAGGTCTCAGAGACCTGGCTCAGCTACCAGCTCCCCCTTGCAGTGCCCGGTGGGCCCCTCCCGCCTCTTCACTACAGGGTAGGAGTCAGTGATGAGCCGCTTCCGGCCCATGGCGGCCACCCAGGCAGGCGGAGAAGGAGGCGACTGCGGGGAAGGGGCGAGACAGGCCAGCGGCGAGAGAGACAGCTGCGGAGAGGGAGCAGGGGCCAGCGACGGGCAGACACGGTGACCCAGACCAGCGGAGGGAGGAAGTCCGGCAGGTTCCAGGGATGACGCCCCTGCCCACCCCCACAGGCATGCAAACAGGAAGGGCCCCAGCCAATGGCAGACTGCCTCTGTGGGGCGGAGCCCCGGTCCCAGCCAATGGCGGGCAGTACAGGCCCGGGGACCTGTCAGGACCCCCGCCTTCCCCACCTCCGCCAGCCCCCCTTGGGCAGTTGCGGGGTCTCCAGGGACTGGCGGAGCCTGACCCGCGGCCTCTCACTTCCCGTTTGCCATTCCTAGGCAAATGCGCTTTTCAGCCTCAGTAATCCCCGTGGCCGTTGTGTAACTCCCCAGGGGCCTGCTGAAGCCTTCCACCAGTCTCTTGGCCCCGGCCGTTGTGGGGGCAGGTCTGGAGGTCCATCCCCTTCCCCTGCTCCCACCCTGCCCCCAGGGCCCAGGAGGTCTGGCTGGGAAAGCCTAGGGGTGCTGAGCCCTCTTTTCTCACAATCTGCACCCAGAGACTGCTGCCCACTCTCAGGGGCAACTAGACAGAACGATGCTATCGATATTGTGCGGGAGCCAGAGCTGGGCCACTCGCCCCCTCATAACTGGCCTGGTCTTCATCAGTGAAAGCTGCCGTCTCTCTCACGGTCCTATGAGGGAATGAGCAGGAAATACAACAGTCCTGACACACAGCACTGACAACATGCCAAGTCCCTTACAAGCACTGTCCCGTGCGTGCATCAGTGAAATCCATGTAAAGATCTGGGAAAGGAGGAAGTGTGCTCACTTTATGATCACTGCTGAGAGCCACAGGCTCTGTGGGCCTCCGGACTCTCCACGAGCTCCCAGGCCAGGCAGGCAGGCTGGAATTCCTAACAGACAAAAGAGGGGAAGGAGGGCTAGAGATGGGGACTCTCGGGGCTGGGCTAGCGGCTGCTGTAAACAGTGTCTCCCAATTCTCCACCCATGACCTTTGTCCCTCGGTCTCCTGTCATCACTGACTCACCCCTATGCCCGCCTCCCCCTCACCAGCTTCCTGGCAATAGGCGCAAATGCTGGCCAGTAGGAGTCCTGGAATGCACAGGGGGCCAGCACAACTCTAGTCACCCTCAGGGACCCCATGGGCCCTTCCTCCGTAGGGTGCAAGGCTGGAGGGTGAGCTTCCTGGGCTCTGGGTACCTGTGTATGCTGTGCTAGGAATCAAGCTGAGCCGGAGGCATGTGGCCAGTGGTCTTTGGGGGAGCAGGAGAGGCGAAGACTCTGGAGAAAGCACCAGAAGGGGTGGGGCCTCCTCCTGCCTGGATGCTCAGCAGCATCCCTAAGGGGGCCTGAGCTCGAGTCTCTTCTCTGCTTTGCTGTCTGGGCTGGGCTGTCTAATCCCCCATCTGTCTTGTGGACTAAGTGGGGCCCACCTCCAGGGAGACAGGGGGCTCAGGTACTGAGCTCATTTGGCACTGCGCGCTCTGCTGAGGGACACGGCCAGGCTCTGGGGGACTGGCCCATCCCTTCTTGGGGCCTCAACAAGGACCATCTTGTCTGCACCCAGAGGTGCCCAGCACCCAGGGTCCCAGCTGCCACCACCCACCTCCTGAGTCCACAAAGCCCTGAGGGAGTAGGGAGCCATGGGTGGGGCAGACCCCTCCTCATTCCTGATCCCTCCACCCCCTGAAAGCTGATAGCCGTGGGGCCCTGCCACCGCCCAGGGAGCGTGAAATGGGGTGTGCCGCTGGGCCCTCCGCTCCCTGGGCACTGTCTGGGCTGTCCTCTGCCTGGCTCAGGCCCTGCTGGCCTCTCCCACCCCACCGGCAGATGTCCCCCTTGGGCTTCCGCTACCCCCCCCCCCCAAGAAGGCGAATCAGAGTGAGTAGCTGCTGCTCTTCTCAGACAGATGGGAGGGAACCTGAGGGAAGGCACCCCCAGAGCCAGCCATGTACCTCAAGGTGTACTGCAACTAGACTAGATCTCCCATGTCACCTTCCTCACCCCCCCTCCATCTTCCTCCTACCACTTGTCAGAACCCTTGACCCTACCAGGCAGCCTCTTGGGCCTGTCCCCAGCACTCCTTGTCTAGGGACCCATCATAGCCTCAGATCTCTTCAAACAGGAGGGCCACATGAAACTGAGCTAAGGACTAAGTTCTTTCTCTTTGGAGGAATGGCCAGAGACCCAGGGTCACCCTGACTGCCAGATGCTGTTGGTGGGACTGGCAGGGATGGCCGCTCCTGGGGCACCCAATAGAGGAAAGAGCTAGAACCGGAAGGGGCCCAGAGCCTTCCTGAGGGCTGAGCCCAGGACTGACTGCTCCCGGAGAAGGGGATTAGACCTGGCTTAGTTTAGACAATGTGGCAGGACAGAGTGGGGGGTGTGCTCAGCACTGCGCCTGCGCCCTTCAAGCCCCTTCCCCACCCCCAGCTCAGGATAGGGCTTGTGGGGAGCGCCAGGTAGAGCTGGAAGGTGCGGGCAGGTGAGGGAGGGAAGCAGCTGCCTGGGGCCCAGAGGCTGTGGGGCGTATCCTGTTCTCCTTCCCTCTCCCTCTGTGCCCCCCTGTTCAGGCCCTCAGGCCCTACCACCCACCCTGAGCTGGAAATCAAGCCTCCAGCTCAGGGGATTCTGGGCAGCCAGACTGATACCCTGGCTCCCAACACACTCCCATGCCCTGGGCCCTAGTCCTCACCCTGTGGGCCAGCGTGCTGCGCAGCACTCCTGGTCCCTCTTGGTGCTCCCTGACCTCCACAGGGCTTACTTACTGGAGGGCCCTGATGGAGGCTGCCCAGGTCTCTCTGGGCTCTGCTGCCACCAGATGTACCTTGTGTTTGTCCACCACCCTCCGCGTCTCATCCAGTGCTCACTGGTTTGTCCTGGCCCTCCTGCCCTGGAGAAGGCCAGGATTTGAAAAGGAAACTCTTCTGGCCATTCCTCACCTTGGCCACCAGGTGTCAGACTTTGTCCAGCTGGAAGGAAGGTCCTCCTTAACCATTTCTAGGATAAGCCTTTGACCACAAGTTCAGTTTGAACTGCAAGGTCACCAGTTACTCTTTGGAAACCCTATATAGAGTCGCTGTGGGTCGGAACTGACACGATGGCACTTAACAACACCCCAGCAACCAGGTCTTGGAGATAAGGGCAAGTTGGGGAGGCACCTAGAGGTGACCTTGGACCTAACAAGGCTGTTGTTGTTATTAAGTACCGTGGAGTAGGTTCCGACTCATAGTGACCCTGTACAGGGTTTCCAAGGCTGCAGATCTTTACGGGAGCAGAAAGCCTCGTCTTTCTCCCGTGGAACGGCTAGTAGTTTCGAACTGCCGACCTTGAGGTTAGCAGCCCGATTCATAACCTCTAGCTACCAGAGCTCCTTAACAAGGCTGAGGTCCTACAATTGCAGCAGTGAAGGGGCTGGACCTCAAGCTGGCTCTCAGTGCCTCTCATCACCCTCACCCCCCTGACAAGGGCTTTGTCTACTGCTGGGAAATTGGGGAACCAGGCTGAGTCAGGGACCTCAAGGACTAAAGGGACAAAGGCAGGGACAGTTGTGGCTCTAGAGAAGAAGGGAAGCTGAGAGGCCACCACCCATCAGAGCACTTAGTGGGCTGGGTCACTGGCCCTTGCCCTCTCTGACCAAGGAGACAAAGGCCTTGCTCTGCTCTTCCCCATTTGGGGTGGGTGAGTTGTGTGAGTCCCCTCACATACCCAGGAGACCCCTGAGTCCTGGGTGTTGGGCCAGTGTTTACAGAAGGGGACACTGGCAAAGTGTCTGCCGCCCTCCATGAACTGACCCTGTCTTGTGCCTCTGGAGCACATGCGCTTCCTGGCACCCTTGATGACAATGCGACTCTAATCCCCAGTCTGATGATCTGGAGAGGCTAATAGAGAGGACCTTTTCTCCCTCCTCGCACCCCATCCTCCTGAGCCTTCCTGGGAACAGAGACACCTCGAGACAGCACCTTCCCCCCAACTCTGCAGGGTACCAGGTCATCTATGTTCTTGGGATACCTGGGTCCCTTACTGTGGGCCTTACTGAAGCGGAGGAACCTCAGCTAACCAAGGAGAGTACGCGAGTACCCCGGCCCTTTCTGGAGGCAGCTTGGATAGAAAACCAACTACAGATTCACTCACAGCCATGATTGGTGACAGCTCTGAGCAGCAGTGACCTGTGCGTGCGTCTTCATGGGAAGCCCAAAGGGAGGGTCACATGCCCAGACCTCATTAGGGAGCTATCTGGGGGAGAGTCCAAGAACAAATACTCATCCATCCGCCTGAAGCATCATCATCGGCTGCTCGCCACCCTGGCCCTCCTCCGTAATTCCTGCTGTAGCCTTGCCTACACTCTGCCTCACTGGTTCTTGGCCATTCCCACCCTGCCTGCAGGATGCCCTCTCCTGACTTGTCCTGTCCTCCTCTGCTGCTAGGGACTGTCAGGATCCACGCTGACTAGCAACACTGTGTAGTCTCCTCTGGGAGTTTCCCGACTCCAACCCCCAAGCCTCTCCATTATTCCCCAGCCACCACCCTGAACTTGGCAGGTGACATGCTCAAAACTCCCCTGTTTCAAAACAAAACAAAACACTCTTCCTTTCCCCCAAACTCAGGAGTGAGTACACTGAACCTTACTTTTCCTGCCATATCCGTTACTCCTAGTCGGTGTTCCCCTCACAACTGCTCTTTCAAAGGTTATCGGTAACTTTTCAAAGGCCAAAGCCAATGGGTTTCGCTCAGTATTCCCTCAGTTCCTCTGGAACATATGAGACTGTTCATCAGCTCTTCTCTTGACTTCATCTTGATACTCTTCCAAACTCAAACCGACCTGTTCCTAATGAGTCAGTTCCTGTTCATTGCGACCCATGTGGCTCAGAACAGAGCGACCCATGGGGTTTTCTCGGCTGCAGTGTTAATGGAGAAGATTGCTAGGTCACCAGGTGAATCTGAACTACTAACCTGTAGGGTAGTAATTGGGCGCAAAGTCTCAGTGCCACCCAGGGACCTTGATACTCTTTAAATGACTCTACATCAGGAAACAGCCAAGTCTTTCAATGTGTGCCAGGCGTTGTACCCACTGCTGAGGAGGTGCAGAGAGAAGTACCTCCTGGCCCCTGGCCTCATGGCACTGTCTGACCGAGCTCGCCATGACCCAGACCCTTCTCAAAATTCTGCCCACCCTCCAAGACCAGCGCCAAACCCACCTGTTACATTTCTGCGAAAGGTGACTATTGGGTACCCACCATGTGGGAGTCCCTGGAAATGTGAAGACTAGAGACCTCCTTCCCTCCCATACTGGTCCTCACAGACCAATAGGGCCTTCACTCAGCTGACTAAAGGTCACCCCTCCCTGACACCTGTAGTATTTTGTCTGCTTCTTCCTGTACTTGATCAAATTCTGCCTGGTGTGGTAGCATTGGGTGGGTTTACTGAGGGCTGTCTTTGTGGGGGTCTGAGCCGGATGCTGGTGACATAGAGATGCAGGAGGACCCAGAATTTACCCTCAAGACATTCCCTCTTGAGTGTCGGGGGTAAGCATGTCTCTCCACTTTCCTCCTGACCTCTTGTGCACACATGACAGATGTTTGTGCTCACGTGTGGAGAGTCCAGATGACCACTTTTCAATCTTGTTTGCCAGGATGCTGAGCCTGGGGCCGTCCCTGACTGGTAGATGTCTGTGCTCCCTTTGGGCTGGGTGACTCCAGGACATTCAGCAAAGCCTGGCTTGCTCTAACCACAAGCTGGTCCAGCCCCACCGGTCCCATCTCTGCTCTGGTCTCCCTTCCCCGGCGGGGTGTGCACACATTGGTTCCTCTCGGGCCATCTGGCTCAGGGGTGCTTTGCTCTTGTGGTGTCCCAAGTAGATGGCAAGCCTTCTGAGGGTGGGAGCCAGGATGGGTCCTGAGATTCTTCGGACTTTCCCATGGCTGTTAGCACAGTGATGGGCTTGTCACTAGGCCTTTAAGACAGCTGTCAAAGGACTGACGTCACCTGATAACCACCACCTTTTCTCACTTCCTTGGTTTAAGGCACTGTCTCCAGAAGACCCAAGGAAAACACCTGTGTACTTACAACCTGGAGTCCTGTGGCGCTCACTGCAGGTTAATGCGCTGGACTGCAAGGTCAATTTGAACCACAAGGTTGGCAGTTCAAGCTCACCAGCTGCTCCTCGGAAACCCTATACAAGGTTGCTATGAGTCTGAACCAAGTCCACAGCACTTAACAACTTACTGCCTGGGGGCAAGTAACCCATTCATTCGTTTACCCCATGACTCCTAACTAGAGTGTCAAGACCACCTGATAGGTCCCAGGTAAGTTTAAGTTCTACAGTTGCTGAGCCTTGGTGGTGCAGTGGATTCAGCATTGGGTGACTAACAGTAAGGTTGGCGGTTTGAATCCACCAGCCGCTCCACAGGAGGAAGCTGAGGCAGTGTGCTTGAAAAGCCTATGAGGCAGGTCTACTCTGTGCTGTAGGGTGACTCTGGGAGAGAACCCACTCCATGGCAGTGGTTAAGTGGCTACAGCTGAGCCAAGCCCCTTACCCTCCCTCTTTGTTTTCCTCCCTTAAGGGACTTTCCCTCTTTTTGCAGATGGGGAAGTTGGAGCTCACAGAGGCTGTTCAACCAGTAGGTGATGAAACTGGGATTTGAGCCTAGGTCACCCCCCAAGCGATCCAGCTCACTCCCCTGCTGCCTCTCCCCCACATACGCCCTCCCTCCCTCTAAGGTCCCTGCTGAGCCCCGAGGGGTCTGGCGCCTCTCTAGGAGGTGAAGGGCGCTGAGGAACTTGTGAGGAGCCCTGCTCCGGAGGACCCAGTGCCCAGCCGCAGGTGGAGGTCCTGGGGACACTAGGGACCAAGTGCCCAGGGACTGACTACTTGGGCAGATGACAGCTCTGCTCAGATTTGGGAGGGCTGAATGGGAGCCATTCAAAGTGGGGGCCAGATCTGTGAGAGCACCAAGTGACCAGAAGGGTGAGGTAGACAGAGCAAAGGCAGGAAGGAAGAGAGGAGGCCACAGTCAGAGGATACTGGGAAGGACTGCTGACTTGTTTGAGGGGTGTGGATGGGAGGGAGGGGGACCCCCAAAAACATTGCACCTCCTGAGCAGACCCTGGGGCTCCGAACCCTCCCAAATGGGAGTGGGTGTGGGTTGCGGGGAGGCCAAGTGCACATGTTCTGGGGAAAGCATTTTATTTGTTAATACAAGAATAGAAATTCTGCAATAAATATCATCTAATAAATAACATCTCCAAATAAATAAATATTAATACAACAAACTTAGAGTCATGAGTGGGTGGGGCTGGGGGCAGAGCCAGGAGGAACTGCCCCCCACACCCCGAAATGCTACTGCAATGTAAACTTTCAGGAAATCCTGTGGCTATGGCCAAGGTTGCCCTCCCCAGCCTGGGCAACCCACAGATACCCTGGGAAGGGGCAGGCAGAGGTGCCATGATGCCCAGCAAGACGCCACAAGGCAAGGTGCTGGTGTCCTGGTGCTCAGCGTGGCTGCCTTGCCACTGGGCCACTGACTGCCTCCTCGGTGAGCCCTGGCTTGGGGCTGCCCCTGCCCCCTCTGCTTTCAGTATGACCTCCCTCCCATTGTGATTCCTCCTCTTCTTGCTCAGCATTTACTTCCTGGTCAGACCTGGAGAATGATCTAGGGGTAGGTAGGGAAACAACACGCATCCAAAGGACTTCACCCCGGAAAGGCACTGCGGTGGCTGCCTAAATCCTGGACCCACAGGAGAGGCTGGGGGGTGCTGGCGGTGCTGAGTGGGGAGACCTTTGTGCCCACTGAAACCGTGCCTGGCTCCCATGATCAGCATGGCTTGTGCCAACCAACGGGACGGGGCCTATTGCACCTCTTCCCCAGACCTGGAGAACGTGGGCAGGCGGGCAGGGATAGGATGGGCCAGAGGCTCAACAGTTGTTAGTGGCTTTCAGGTGTCTCCCTTCCAAAGGGAGCAGGGTGTCCGTGGGGGAGGGGAGGGTGGTCAGGAAGAACTCAAGGCAGGGGCCTCCAGGTGCAGGGTGAGCGCAGCTGCGGGAGGCTGCATCTTCTTCTTGAGCCAGTTGAAGTCCTTGGCTGAGCGCCATAGCCAGGTCTGCAGCTCCTTCAGCAGCCAGAAGTCGTCCATCTTCTGGAGGAAGTCACTGTGGGCAGGGCCAGGGGCCCAGGTGGGCTCTGTGCCGGGCAGGGGTTGGGGCAGTGGGTAGCCCAGAGCTGCCATGACACCAGCAATGCTGCCCAGCAGGCCTTGGAGGCTGGTGCAGAAGTGGGCTAGGCTGTGACGCAGCTCGGCCGTGGCGGCCTGGCGGTCAAGGCCACGCAGGTAGCACAGAAGGTGGCTGTAGGCCTCGTAGTTCTGAGTCAGCCGCAGCTTGTCATTGAGGCTCCGCCACACGTCAAAGTTGACAGTGGCTCTGGGCAGAGCCTCAGCCCCCAGCCGAGGCGGGTTGAAGTCAGGCTCATTGAAAGGGGGGCCCAGGTAGTTCAGCTGCAGAAAGGAGAGGGCTGATGGGGAGGGCGCAGGGCGATCCCCAAAGGGTCTACTTGCATCTGCCCTGCTACTCGCCCCCCAGTCCACGCTATGCTTCTCTGTTCAGGCCTCCCTAAGTCTCTCCGACCAGGATGTCATGGCAGGGAGGTGACAGTTGAAGTTCTACGGAGAGGTGCAGAAAGAGAAAGCCCGGAGTGGGCGCCCAGTCAGGCTGTGCTGATTGCTGGGTGTGCGGCCCCCCACAGGGCAGGGCAGAGAGGAAGAAGCGCCCTCGCTGAAGGCACCAGGAGGCGAGGCTGTGGAGGTAGAGGTGGCCAGGAGAGCAGAGGCCAGAGGACAGGAGCCCAGGAGGCGGCAGGGCTGGACAGTGTGGCTGCAAAACAGAGCAGGAAGAGCGACAGTGAGAAGAGCCCAGCCGGCTGGGTGGCGAGAAGGTGGTGCCAGTGGCCAGGGGCCTCAGAGAGAGCTCCTTCAGTGACTAGAGGCCAGACCGCAGGGGGTTAAGGAGTGAGTGGGTGGAGAGGAAGTGAAGGCAGAGGGTGTAGACCACTCCTGGGAGAAATTTGGCAGGGGAGGGCAGGAGAGAGACAGGGTCGGGAACTAGAGGGGCAGAAAAAGCAAGCAAGCTAAGGTTTTCTGGCCAGGAGACATGGAGCGGCCTCACTTTGGATATCCCTGGTCTCACCGGGCCGCAGGAATGGGGGATAGATGGGTGTTCACTGACACCCCCAAGGAAGCACCCAGCTGACAGGACCAGGGAAGAAACTGAGGCAGTCTCAAAAGGGGGGGCAGGAGGAAGGGTCTGGAAGGCATCTAGAGAGGAGGGCAAAGCCTTTGCCAGTCCTGGGGAGAGGCCTGGGGCCCAGGGAAAGGGCCGAGGCCCCTGTCAGCGGTGAGGAAAGGAAAGAGGGGCGAGGCCTGGGATAGGCCAGGGCCCAGGGGGAGGTTCACACACTGACAGGCACAGAGACAAACTAATTTCCTCGGTGTATCCTGGGGCTGGAGCCAGCCGCCCCCCCCCCCTTCCTCCCCTTCCTTCCCTGGCTCCAGAGTAGGGTCTGGGATTGGAAGAGGAACTCGGGAAGAGGGGCCAGCTCCCCATGGTCCTCGGCTCCTCTGACCTCTTGCTTCCCTCCTGGGCCCTCTAAACACCTCTGGACCGTCCCCAAGCTTCCATTCCCACCCTGAGGCCCTGTCACCACCAGCCAGGGGTCCTGAGCTGCAGGGCCCCAAGACTGGGGGCAGGGGCGAGCTGAAACACAGGCATGGAGGTGGGGCCCCTCCATCCCCACCCAGCCCCAGCCCCGCCCGTTGGAGAGACACCACAACACGGTGTAAACAGGAGACTTCCCCAGCCCCCAGGGGGAGGCGGGTGGCCGGGCCAACAGCCAGTGGGGCAGTGGGCCAAGGCGGGTGCAAGGCCTGCCCACATGCCTAGTCCTGGGGCCAGGGATAGGGAGGAGGGGGGGCACCAAGAGGGTAGGGCAGGAGATAGGCCAGACAGTGAGACTGCTTGGAGCCAGAGGGCCCCTCCTCAGCACCCCATCACTCACCAGGTTCCCCCCATCACCTCTTCTATCCCCCACCACTCCTCTCCTCTCTTTGCCCAGCTCCCAGACTCCTGAGGCACCCTGATACTCACGTAGGTCCCAGCCAAGCTGCGGAGTTGGTGCTCCAGGTAGCGGGTGAGGTCATAGGTTTTCTGGATCGAGGGGCCAGGCCCTGGGTCCCCTGTGCGGTTGAGGGCTGGCACTGTGGGGAGGTGCCAGAGCACAGTGCATAGACAAGCTAGCAGCCCCCACGAGTCCCCTGTAGACAGCAGGACAGCAGCGTGAGGTGGGCCTGGCCAAGCAGGGAAGCAGCTGGCAGCCCCTCAGGTGTCTGTCCCCACCTTGGACTGGGGGAGAGGGAGGGAGGACTCCAGATGGAAGGCTAAGGGGATGGAGGAGGGGAAGTGTTCCTGGCCCAAGAAAATATGTGTGTGGAGGCATGTATGAGTTTGAGGATGGGGCTTGGCGCGCACACGTGCATGTGTGTGCGTGCGTGTGTGTGTGCATGTGTGAGCGCGCACGCGTGCCGATATTTGAGAGTATGTTTGTGTGGCAGTCTTTGGCGTGTCTTTCACTGCATGGGTGGCAACATGCGTGTGTGTATATGAGGCGGGCTGGGGCCCCTCTTGGGCTCTGTGTGTACCTGGGCAGCCTCTCCCAGTCCAGCATGGGGGAGCAGAGAAAGGAAACATTGCCTCTCAGAGCTGGGAGGGGAGGCCTGAGGGCTGAGAAGAGAACCATGGGACGGCAGGCTTAGGGAGACCCCAGGCTGGCTTCTGGAGTCAGTGGTGTGTGTCCTCTAGAATGGGATTCCTGGGCAGGCAAAGTGTAGGGTCTGTTAGGACAAATGACATTCCTGTTCACGTGGCCTGGCTGCAGTGGGGAGTTTGCCGTGTTCCTATCTACGACACTTCATGGACCTTTCCATCAGCCTGCAGTGGCAGCTGAGAAATGGAGGGGTGGGGTGCATTTCATGATCCCATAGAGCTAAAGAGTGTGGGCGACCAGGATGCAGGGGGTCAGAGGCTCGGAAAGTAGACAGCTGGGAAACATGCTCTTCCAGAGTTTAGGTGAGGTCCACGGACTCAGTGAACACTAGGTAAAGGTAAAGGCAGGCAGGGTACGGTGGTGGTGGTGGTGGTGGTGTGCTGTAGAATAGGGTTTCCTGAGGCTGTAAATCTTTACGGTAGCAGAAAGCCTCAGCATTCTCTCCCAGAGCAACTGGTAGACTCGAACTGCTAACCTTGCAGTTAGCAGCACTGCTTGTAATCCACTATGCTACCCTGTTGTTAAGTGCCACTGAGTCAATTCTGACCCATAGAGACCCTGTATAGGGTTTCCAAGGAGCAGCTGGTGAGCTTGAACCACCAACCTTTTAGTTCAAAGAACTTTGTAGTCTGCCGCATTAGCCCACAGTGCCACACCTGGACACTACCCTGGTAGGGATAAAATTGGTATTGTCTAGGTTAGGTCCTGGTGTGGCACTATAGGATAAGCACTGGACCCCAAGGTCGTTTTGAACTACAAGTTCGGTGTGTTTCAAACTCACCAGCCGCTCCTCAGAAAGCCTATACAGGGTTGCTATGAGATGGAACGTCTTGACCCATAGCACAGCACTTTAACAACAAGTTCGTTTCAAGGACTAGGTTACTTTGAAACCAGGGCTTTGCACCGTTCATTCTGGTTCAATTCCCTGCTGAAAATTTACCTTTCTTCCCCAGCTATACTCAATCAGAATCTACATTTTACCAAGATCGGTAATTCTCATGCCTGAAGGTGGGGGGAGGTTGAACTGGGATGAACTGCCCTGAAGTCCTGGTTTAAAGTGTCAGGCTGGTTTAGACTTGGGATTTGGCGGATTGAGTTCGGTTGAGGTTTGGGTCTAACAGGGGATGTGGTTAGGTTTGGGCAGGCAGAGGGTTAGCTGGGGCTAAGTTTTGGGCTTGGCTTGTCATTACAAGGGCTAGTTGGGGTTTTCAGCCAGGATAGGTGGGAAGTTATGGGTGGTTACTTTCCTCTAGTTTATATTTTGTACAAGGGGGCTTCTGCAATGAAAAGATAATGGAATTTTTCCATACAATTTTGGAAGACCCCCTCAGACTTTCAAGTTACTTCTACAATGACACATTGCTTTGATAATTGAAAATAAATGGATAGCTTTACAATTTTACTACTACTAGAATTAGGACAAGGAGCTCTGGTAGCGTAGTGGTTACGAGTCTGGCTGCTAACCTCAAGGTCAGCAGTTCGAAACTACCAGCCATTCCATAGAACGATGAGGCTTTCTTCTCCCATAAAGATTTACAGCCTCAGAAACCATATACAGGGTCACTAAGAGTCAGAATTGACTCCACAGCACACCACCACCACCAGCAGCAGAATTTAGGACAGGAGTCCTGGTGTGGCGCTGTAGGATAAACAGTGGACTGCTAACCTCAAGGACAGTGGTTCAAACCCACCAGCTGCTCTTTGGAAATCCTATACAGAATCGCTATGAGTCAAAACCAACTCAATGGCACTAACATCAGAGTTAGGACAAGGAGCTGTGATGGTACAATGGTTAAGCACTTGACTGTTAACTGAAAGGTTGGCGCTTCTGACTCACCCAGCTGTCCATGGGAGACAAGATTCAAAACGTATTGCCAAGCAGCAAGTCCTGCCCCCTAGTGATCCCTTAGGGCAGAAGAGAACTGCAAATAGGATTTCCAAGGCTTTAAAGGTTGAAGCAAGCAGACTGCCACATCTTTCTCCTAAGAAGCAGTTGGTGGATTTGAACTGTCAACATTTTGGTTAGCAGTTGAACACTGTAATGATTGCATCACCAGGACTCCTTCCTGTAAAGATTCAGCCTCGGAAATCCTAGACCATTGGGCCAGTTCTACTGGGAGTCACAGTCCACTTGATGGCACACAACAGCAACTGAGTTAGGACAGGGCTTGGAGTTAAGAAAGGCTTAGCAGTCCTGATGTGGCACTGTGGGCGAATGCGTCAGACTGCAAAGGTCGGTGGTTCCTTGGAAACCCTATACAGGGCCCCTATGGGTCGGGTAGAATCGACTCAATGGCATTTAACAAGAAGAAGACTCGTTAGATTTAGAGTTCGTTAGTCATAGTGTTGGGTTAGGGCTTTAGAGATGACCACAAACTAGGAAAGGTTTAGGACTCATTGTGTAAAAATGTCCCTTATAAACATAGCATAGGGATCAGGCGCGGGCTTTTGCCGCCGCCGACTGCTGGTCCACACTGACTCTTTCAGATGCTTGGCTAATTAACTTTACTGATGGGGTGTGGCAGTAGGGGGCCCAGTTACGGGCGGCAACATTGCTTTTGGGGGAAGAGCTCTTGGTTTGAGGTGTGTGTGTGTGTGAAGGAGAAAGACCAGGGTAAGGCACATAACTGCCCTGTTCCTCTTTCCCTCTAAGTGTTCCTCTAATCTTTCTTTCCTGCCCCTAGCTCTTGCCTGAATGACTTCCTTCCTCTTCCCTGTTCTTGACTTCCCAAGACCACCTCTAGATCCTTTTCCTCTGTAAAAAGCCTTGGCCCTCTCAACCCAGCTCCACAGGGGTCCTGTGGGTACCATATGGAAGGGGGAGACCTGCTTGGGGGTGGGAAAGGGAGGGCAACAGCCCTGAGCCTTGAGGTAGCTCTCAGGATGGAGTTTGGCCTAACTGGACATTAAGGGGAAGCAGACTGGCCGATGTCCCCACCCTACCTTGGGGCAGCTTTGTCCCTCCCACACAGGAGGGGAGTCAAGAAGCTGCTCTGGTCCTGCTTGCCCCCTCCCCTTCTGGGTCCTGGGAGACACCCTGGGGGACCAGCTCCCTACAAGGGGACAGTGGTGGGAGAGGCCTTTGGATAAACAAGAGCGAAGTCATCTGGGCAGAAAAAACGGCTCATGAAATTAACCAGACAAGGCCGGTGTTTCCAGGAATATTTCAGTTCTGAGTAACTGTGTCACTGAGGGCTGTGGGGGTGGGGTGGGGGCGCGCACAGAGAGCCCACTAACCGGACTGGGAGCACCAGGGAGCCAGAGGGGAAAGACGCAGGACAGCAAAAGCAGGTCAAGGGTGGACGCTCTTCCACCTCAACAGTTCCCACTTCGGACCAGGGGTGTCTCAATTCCTGTCCCTCTAGCTGGAGTGGGCATACGGCAGCCTGGGGCAGCGGACACCTGGGGTGGAGCATGGAGTTTGTGGACCTAGCCTGGGAGGCTGTATATGCACAGGTGGGCCTCTTGGTGCTGGGCAGCTGGGGGTCCTGATTCAGCCCCCTTCCTCAGCGCTGGCCCCCAGCCCACCCGCCCCGACATCTACTCTGGCTGCTGCCCACTGATTGTTTACATCCGTCTTCTCCCTGTGTTTATAAATCCACTGAGCACGTGAGGAGCTAATGAGTGCAGCTCACGTTTCCTGCTGCACCCCCCACCCCCATCCTGGCCCCCGCCTGGCCAGCCCCTAATTCCATCCAGATCCCTGGGCCCTGGGAACCGAGGCCCACTCAGGAACACATACATTTGGCCCACAACCCTGCTGCCCAGGCAGGGACATCCATCCTCATGACCTAGCCTGTGTTCCCTTGCGTCCTGTCCTCTCCACCCCCAATCCCACAGCCTCAGTGGCCAGGCGTGCTAGGGTGGTCCTGGGAGGTAGGGTAGTTAGGATTGATGGCTAAACCAGGGAAGCACCAGAGAGTTCCAGAGGTGTGGGGGTAGCGGCTGCAGACTAGGCTAAAGATGGGGCCTAGGAGGGGTCAGCTGAGGGGAAGTGTGGGTGGAGTGGGTCTGGTAGTGTGAGACCCAGGCATCCTGCCTTCCTAGGGAAGGCCCAAGAGAGGCAGAGGGGGAAAAGCCCATAAAACATCCATCTTTCTTGCTCCTGGGCTGGCAGCCCTCCCCTTGCTCCCCCAGCACCTAAGAAGTGGCTAAGGATGCCAGTGGGGAGGTACGGGCCTAGAGGCAGGAGACAGCTGGGATCACCAGCCCCCAGGATGGTGGACTTGCTATCTATCCAGCCTGCACTATGCCGGATTTCCTTCCAGCCGAGACACGTGGGACTCCATCTCTGCAGCGTCTCTCCTCCCCTGCTCTTCCAGACTAAACGACAGCAGAAACTTGAGGCCCAGGGGAAGAAGCATTAGGGGGCCAGGTCCCTGCCCTGGGAAGTCAGTAGCTAAGGCAGGATTGTACTATGGTTTGAATGAGAGGGCACCCGATTGGACCCAGAGGAACCTTGGGTGTGCCGGGGTAAGCACCGGGAAGCCAGCGGCAGGGGAAGTGCCAGAGGAGCAGTGAAAGTGTGTGTATTGCCCCCCACCCCTGCTGTATAAGAAGGAGGCTGTGGGAGGGGCTCAGAGGGACCAGGCCTGAGCCAGGTGGGAAGAGGCAGGTGGGACTCAGGGGAGGAATGTGAAGTGTGGTCGTCAAGAAGCTGAGGGATGTAGGGGGTTGTGTGTGCAGACATGGGGCCACACAGGCATGCAGGACTGCTAATGTGGAGAGAAGAGGGGTCATCATGCCCGTGTGGGCTGCCCCCTGACCAGCGCTTCGTTAGCTGTGTAGCTGGGAGCAGGCTGGCCTGTCAGGTACCCATGACTACATCCCTCTGTCTTGTTTGCTTAGAGGTCAGGGCAGTGAAAACCTGGAGATGGCATCTGCCTGGGTCTGAGTCAGTGACCAGGACAGAGCAGTGTGTCCAGTCTCCCCTCCCCCGCCCCAGATTCAACCTACCCCTTCTTCTCCTGATAACCCCTTCCTACACTTGGAGGAGGTCCAGGCAAGGGGGCCCCTGAGGAGACAGGGCGGGACCCCTGGGATTAGGGGTCGGCTGAGAGGGCTACAGGGACTCAGTGTTGTGTTGCCGGGAAGGAAGATGAGGGGAGTCGAACTGGGGAGGCTCTGATCGCCCGGGGGGCTCGGCCGAGAACTGCAGCGAGCTTCTTCCTCCAGAGTGACCTCTTACTCCGGGCCCCCTCCCCCGACAGCAGTGCCTTCCCCTTGTGTGGCCCCGGCGCCCCCGGCCCCGCCCCCGGCCCACTCCCGCCCGG